TAATATTTTTAATAATATTGAAATAATGTTTTAAAAACATTTTTAAAAAGCTTATTTTAAATTGGTATTAAATATAAGGATAATTGTGTCTTATAAATAATTATAGATTAGTATGCAATATAAATTAATACATAGCACCCTAAATTTATATACACAAAACTATTAACCCAGAGACCAGTAAAACATGGTCACATGATGTAATACAGGTCATTTCAATTCAAATCATTGATCACATAGCCCTGAGCGATGCAAAATCTTTATCGCCACTATTACAACAATAAATTACATCATTATGCGATGTATCAATTTTATCACATACCAAACAATTTAAAGATCATATATAAAATCAGAGTTTCTACTCTTGTTGCTCTTAACATTCTTAACATCATAATAAACATGGAACTGTATCAGTACGGAAACACAAGCAATTTTTCAAATTATCATTCAGAAAGCATGATAGAAATAGAACGATATATTTGTTTTGATGATGATGCTGAATGCTCCACTGCACTTTATAGTCAGAACGATGAAATTCAGAAGTATAATGAAAAAAAAACAGAAGAACCTTAAATGCGAACAAACCTGATGATTCAAGTACAAATGAACCTAACATTTCAAATATAAACAGAACTGATACTTCAACTATGAATGAACTGTGTGATTCAAATAGTCAAGATGATGAAGCATTGACAGACTAGCTTAATGATAACCTAGAAAAACGTGATGATAGGATGCTAAATGAATCAAATAGTGCAATTAAGACGATTTCAGAAGACATTTCCAAAGATGTCAGGTTTGATTTATAGACAGAAGTTGAAGACTTTTTCAATGAGTATGGAAAATGAAATGGATTCACTGTGATTAAATATTGTATAGAAAAGAATAAAGCAAGAATGATTTACAAAAGAACTTTCATTTGCGAGTTTGGAGGAAAGTATTGACCTAATAAAAGCCAGACAGGGAAACAAAAAAATACAAAAACAAAGAAGGTTAATTGTCAGTGGCATGTGAATCTTTTTTTTGGAGGGGAAAATCATATATCAATTACTATGCTTGTCAACAAGCATAATCACAATATGAATTTTGAAACACAAGAATTCACAGTTAAATACCGTACTCTTTCTGAAGATGCCCTAAAAGAAGTGGAAATTATGACAAAATGTGGGAACTTGTCTATCACATCACAAAGAAATCTTTTGAAAGAACATTTTTCTAATTTACAATTTCAAGATAGTGATCTTGCCAACAGTATCCAAAAATTTATAATGCATCACACCTGCTTAATTCCTTGTTAACTAAAAAGATAGATGATCCTAGATGGGCCGTAGAATTTGAATTAGACAAAGATAACAGACTTACACATTTATTCTGGATGTCACCTGAATAAATCGAATTGTGGATAAAGTATCATGATGTAGTTATTAGTGATAACACGGCTAAAACCAATAAATATCAAATGCCTTTAGAACTGTTTGTTATTATCGATAATAATGAAAGAACACGGCTTGTTTGTCAAGTTTTAGTAAGTAATGAAACTCTTGATACTTATAGTTGGACTCTTACATGTATAAAAAATACAACAAAACTGAAACCTCTAGTCATATTTTCTGATACGGATTCAGCTTTTGATGCTGTAGTTCATATTGTGTTTTCTGAATCATATGTTGCGCACTGTATTTTTCACATCGACAAAATTTACCCAAGAATTTGAAAGTTAAGATAGGTAATAAATGGGAAGACTTTATGAAAACATTTTACCAGTGCTGCAATAGCCTTTGTGAACCACTTTTTTATAAACGTTGGGATGAAATGCTTAACAAATACCCAATGACAAAGAACTATTTGTTACGTGTATTGCATCTATGTAATCGGTCTTGGGCATGTGCTTACCTTTTTAAAATTTTCACAGCTGGAATAGAAAGCACAGACCATGTTGAATATTATAATTGGGTGATAAAGAAAGAACTAAGAGCAAATAGCACATTGTGTGAATTCACAGATCGTCTTGAAAAATGTCTAGAAACAGAAACACAGTGAAATAGATTTAATCAGTATAGAAATTCAACAACATTTGCTACTATGACTACTGCTGAACATGATCTTTTCCCAGCAGTAGTTAAAACCATTGATATATATCTCACGGAAGCAATTAGTAACATAATCAAGTTTGAAATGTCTTAGTGTTTGTTTCTTACTACAAATAGGATTGAACCAACATCTACCGAACTTAATACTGAGCAAGAAAATGTTGAAGAAATCTCAAATAGATTCATTGAAGATAATGACGATATATGTAAAATTACCCTTCAAGCTATAATAGATGAAGTCGGAATTGAAAGTATATGGGAAATCTGGAGAATTTCTGACATTCGCGGTGAAAAAAAGCATCATATACACTTTATAGCAATTGTAAACTCAGTATCATTTATGTATTCATGCCTTATGCCAATTTCAAAGGGACTTGTCTGTTGCCATTATTTTTGTGTCTTCATGCACTCTCCCATGGTAGTATAAGGACCCCTATCAAGAAAATCAAAATTATGAAAATAAGAAAGTTATATTCATTCATGAAAGAGGAATTACTGATAAAAGATGTGAAAATGAGGAGATTTCCTTAATTCAGAGGTCTCATACAGCACCAGTTACGATTTCAACTACGAAAAAAGCTTTACAAAAAAGAAACATATATGGTAAAATATAGGGGTTAGCTCGTAAGGCAATATTTATAGCAGTGAACAATAATGATAATGAGATTATTGATATTCTTCAAAGGTACATATTGAGAAAAAAAGGTGAAAAAAATGCACATAGTAGTGATACATGAGCCAAGAACAAGGCAAAGAGGCCTTTACAATTAACAGAAGTGAATACCAATGCTGTGGATGAAAATCAAGCTATATTAGAAGAGTTAGCTGAGAATTATACTGACGAAGATAGTTATTCTGACGAAGAAAATAATATACTAATTCCTGAGAATGTTCAAAATCCAACTCGCGTTATTGGAAGAGGAAGGCCTCCTAAAAGTCGTTTTAAAAGTAGCGTAGAAAAGAAACAAAACCGGCAGAAAGCTTCTAGAGGTTCGTATAAGTGTAGGCAATGTGGAGAAATAGGCCATAATGTAGCTTATCACAAACCAAAAAGAAGAAGAAATGATAATTAATAGATGTATGTACCATTTATATACGAATTTGAAATTAACCTTCTACGAAGTTACAGTAGATAGGGTCAAATTAAGAGAAGACCAGATACAATATTGTGATTATGTGCGAAAAAAATTTTTGAATCACTAATTGCATATTTCGAAGTAATTTTTACAGATGTGCGATGATCTGATTATGAAAGCGTTAAGAATTCATATGATTGTTGTAGAATAGATGTTAATTTGCACTGTCCTTAAGTATTGTTCTATGTATCTTATTTTTCTGACAGTTATTTTTTAACGAGTTGGCTTAATTTAGAGTTAAAATTAAAATAACTGTTTGTAAAACAAGATATAATAATTTAAAAAAAATAGTAAATTAATTCTGGGTGGTATATTAATGCATCGCCTCCTAAATGCAATAAATATTTATTTCGCAGGGCGCAATGTCTAATTAAGTCCTAGAATTAAAATAACTGTTTGTAAAACAAGATATAATAATTTAAAAAAAATAGTAAATTAATTCTAGGTGGTATATTAATGCATTGCCTCCTAGATGCGATAAATATTTATTTCACAGGGTGCGATGTCTAATTAAGTCCTTTTTTAATTATTACATATTTATTATATCATAATTATAGCACTATTTATATATCTAAAACTACTTTTACTCTTTGTCAAGCACAAGTTGCTCTAATTATATTATTTATAATTATCAATACAAAAAATCTAATACAGCATGACAAACATTAAATATAGCACAACAGCACTAACAACAAACGAGCCTAAAAAGAATTAGCATAGCACAACAAGATTTGAAAGTAAAAAAAGAAATAAATACTTAGCTGTGCACTTATACTTGCTAGCAAAACATGAACAAATCCCAAATTCAAAAAAAATAATTGCTATTTGTAAAAGATTAAATCAAAAAAGTAACTTTAAAATTTTGCAAATATATTATTTACAACAATAAGAATATCTACTATTTGTTTAAACAAAAATTATTAATAAAGTTTTTAAGAAATTAATTTGGAATGAATTTGGGATTTGGGTGTGGACAAATCCCAAATATAGTAATTTGGGATTTTGCCAACATGTATATATGTACTCCAAACTGAGAAATCTCAACGACAGAAAAACTTAAATAACGCTCCAGCATAAAAGAGCCTGAAATAAACGACAATAGTGACGAAAGAGACTCCAAACTAGACAACACCAACTACGAAAGAATCCCAGATAATATATATAAACAACGTAAGAATGCTGAATGGACAACACCAATGGCAAAAGAGACTCAACAACACCAACGATGAAGAATATAGTGCAACACTCAAATTCAGCATCAACTATGAACATACCCAGTAATGCACAAAAAAACTAGACACAACAGCCGTCTATCTTGGGCTTTAAAAGAATTAATACAGCACAAAACAATACTGAAAGTAAAAAAAAAAGAAACAAATACTTATCTGTATACTCCAAACTAGGCGACACCAACAACAAAAACACTTCAGGTAATGCCCAATATGTAAGAACCCGAAATAAACAATGATGAAAGAATCCCCAAAATAGACAACACCAACGATGAAAGAATCCCAGATAATATGCGAACGTAAGAATGCCAAAATAGATGACACTAATGACAAAAGAGACTCCAAACATGTTCAGTAATACACAAAAAAACTATATGCAACAATCGCCTATCTTGGGTCTGAAAAGAATTAGTATAGCACAAACACAATACTAAAAGTAAAAAAAAAAAAAAAAAAAAAAGAACCAAATACTTATTTGTATGCTCAAACTGAGCGACACCAATGATGAAAAACTTCAGATAATGTCTCAATATATAAAAGTCAAAATAAACGACAGCGACAAAAGAGACTCCAAACTAGATGACACCAATGACGAAAGAATCCCAAATAATATGCGAACATAAAAATGCTGAAATAGATGACACCAATGACAAAGAAGACTCCAAATGTGTCTAGTAACGCACAAAAAAACTATATGCGACAACTGCCTATCTTGATCTGAAAAGAATTAGTATAGCACAAACACAATACTGAAAGTAAAAAACAAAAAAAAAAAAAAAACCAAATACTTATCTGTACACTTAAACTGAGCAACACCAATGATAAAAAACTTTAGGTAATGTCTCAATACATAAGAGCCTGAAATAAATGACAACAGTGACGAAAGAGACTCCAAACTAGACGACACCAACGACAAAAGTATTCCAGATAATGTGCGAACAAGTTTGTCATATATATGCTAACTTTGAAATTTTTTACTTAATGTAAAAAAGCTGTAATATTATGTAAGATATTTCAAAATATTTCAAAATATCTTACGTAATATTTTGTAATTTTGATATTCGCAATATTTCGAAATTCTTACATAATATTATGGCTTTTTTATATTTCATAAATTATTATGGAAGGGTTGGGATTTCACAGCCTAGTGGTCTAGGCACCCAACCCTCTATAAGCGGGTTTCGGGTTCAAGTCCTAGTAGGTACATTTACCTACGAATATTTGGAAGTATCTGCCATGGGAAGTCCAAGTGAATACAGGT